AGGTAGAAAAAACTGGTAAATGTAAGATTAACTAATATGATGTCATGTCAAATTAATCTTAATTGCTCATAATGTTCAAATTTGTCTGTTATGAGTTCCTAGGCTTATCTGGTAGTGAAGTGTGATTTGATTGAGCAATGAGATATATGAAAAAAATGGATAAATGTAAAGGATAATAACTTCTTGCTTAACTATGCTTATGCCATGCCATGCTGCAACCCTTTGGCCTTAACAGTGGGTGGAAAAATCATTATGGGTTATCATAAATTAAACAGACACCTTTGACCAGTCGTTTAAGATTTATCAAGTTGCCATGATAATACCTGAATAAAGTAAGATCACAGTCTTTAGGTTCTTTTGTAAGAAATATAAAAATGCATTTTTGATGTAAGTTTTGACTCTTTTTCCACAGCTGCTCTGGAGCTGATTCATACACATGGAGCCAAGTTTTCAACTCAGCTCTTTGAAGACTGTACCCAGGTGTTTCAGTGGTTTGTCAAATGGTGTGGTTCACGAAATAGGGATGATCATAAGGCTGCCTTACCAGCAATGGACACATTCATAGTTGTCATTGCAAATATGCTGGAGCTCCAAGCAATGGAGGATGACAAGAAAGGAGTTCCAGTGTTCAAGGTGAAAGATTTGTTTTTAATTTCTTGTACTCACCAGAGCATAGGTTGTACCACATTAGGATTATTTTCACTGTGTATATACTTACAGCTAGGGAGACAATTAAAGACAATTTATTTGTAATTTTCACATATGTGATTTAATTACATTGTGAAGTTATTTGACCAAACATTTGACAGATTCCCATTCTCTGTAGTCTTTATTTTATTAGATATGAAGTTGTGTTATATTAGTTCAGTGTGTGCTGTAACTGATGCTCATTTCTTTCATCTTGTGAACCAAAGTACCTGCTCCAAGAGTACAACAAGATGCTGGAGACAAGTGAGAGCACCTCAAAGCTGAGTCTGGCCGTAAAGGGATATGGCTTGTTGTCGGGTGCTTGTCGGCAGCTTCTGTCTCCTGTTGAGGTTCATACAATGTTCAATCAGGTCTTGACTGCAAGTCAACACGCTTTTTATCAGTAAGTTTTGTAAGTCTAATAAACAAAAAATATTTGATTAAAAGAATGAATTCTGGCATATGTGATATAATTAGGTGATTCTGTGTAACATTGTTATTTTTATAGGTCTGGTGATATGCTTGAGAACAAACTTACCAATTTGCCAAGCTATATAGAATCCCTAGCAATTATCATCAGCAACATGGATGTAGTAAGTACTGTATATTGTAATAAGCCATGCTTCAGAAAGTATAATAGGCAGGTTTCAGTTTAGCTACACTTAATATATTATCATTATTATTATTGACTAATATTAGTATCACTGTTTTGATTTTGTTATCACAATGAAAATAATAAGCATAATTGTTATTACTATTATTATATTCAAAGTTATTTTTATTAGTAGTAGTAGTTGTAGTAGTATTGTTATTTTTGAAATAAAACTTCAGGTGTTATATTCTCAGAATATTTGTTTGAATTACTGATATGGAGTACAGAACATGAGGGTGTCCTTCCATTGGGTGTCCTTCCATTTCCAATATTAATGACTTATTTACTCCTCAGGTGAACAGTGGCATTTTGGAAAATGTTCAGCAACTTTCAAGTGCCCTTGTGGAGCATTTCCCATTGGTGTCCACTTTCAAGAGATTCCTTGCATACAGAGCCCTTTTCAGGCTCTTCTTCACAGTCTACAACAAGCCTGGATACTTCCATGAATTTTTGCACACTTTTGGTTAGTCTTATTTACATAATTATATGTGTACAATAGAGAGTTTAGTAGGAATATGCAAACGTGTTATGAAGTATTCTTGGTTGTGAAAAATTAAAGCAAGATTAATAGGAGCTACATACTGATTCTTACTTAGCATGCAGTCATGAAATCATAGATCATTGCAAGTATTTTTCTCCTTCATGTTGCAGTATACAAAGCCATAGTTCTGAGTTGCTCCCATGCCCCTGAGGTGGAGTCCTCGCCTGGGGAACAGGGTAGCAGCTGGAGAAGTAAGGCTGCAGGAGGTGAGGGTTGGAAGGGCCTCAAGAATGAGGTGGTCACCTTCAGTAGCTACATCCCTCTGTGGACGGCCCTGATGGTGCCAGAGAAGGTGGCCAATATCAAGGTGTCAGGTATGGAAGTTATCTTATTTATTTAGTTTATTTTGTTTTATTTTATTTTTTTTATTTATTCATTTTATTTTATTATTATTTTTTTTTTTACACAATTATTCTATATAGGTAATGGAAGATCAAATGGTGTTCTTTATATATATCATTATCTGTAATTAACTAAGTATTCTGATCTCTTTCAGGCATGCCAGCAACAGTTATGACAGAAATGAGCAATTTTATATATTCTGAGTTTATTAGCTGTATATTGGAGATATCCGAAAAGCTTGACTTAACTACATACAAACAAAACGAACTACAGCAGGTCAGTTTTTGTGTATATAGACTGTTGTAAGTTTAGCACTTGATTTATTACAAGGTATTCAGGAGAACACACCTTTGTTTGCAGTTTCCATGGTTTAGTAATGTATTTGTAATGCAGTACATTGTTTCTAAAAGAATATAAATATGGATATTGAATTATTTCATGGAAAATCTATTTTACAACTTTGTCTTTCATTCTTTCAACATCACACACATGCACACAAAACACTTTAATCATCTCCTTAATTGCATTTTCCATTCATGCCCAATTTAGTTTTCCTCTCTATATACATTAACATAAAACACATGGTCTTCCATTCAGCCTTATAAAGCAGGCTTTATGCTCTTGTTGCCAAAAGCAGGTGGAAGCGTCAGGCAGTGAGGAAGGAGATCCTGCAACCTCAGATCCTGTGTCAGGATTGAAAGCAAAGGTTCCGAAGGATTTCCAAGTGAGTTGTTAGATACTGCACATGGTAGTTATCAGTTTTAGAAGATTGTCCACTTGTGCCTAGGTTCATACAGCATTTGTGAAGTACAGATATTTTTGCTGAAGTATAATTATAGACAGATTGATTGCCTTATTGTTACTAAATATGAGCGTGATGGAAGTGGCAGTTTATTATATATGAAAATATCTATGCCAGTTTATGATATAGGAATAATACTTTTAATAACAATTACAGTGATATTCAATCTGTAAAGGCAATCAAATAACTCTTGCAGGTGTACATGAATGTGGTATCACTCTTGGAAAAAGTATTACCACTGCAGAGTGAAGATCAGTTAGAGCCCCACATACCTCGCCTGATGTGGTTTTTTGTGACTCAGTCCTCACTCCAGCCTCTTGTGTCAGCCCATTATAATGCAACAACCACTATTCTTATTTGTTCTCGCCAAACTCAGTTTTTCACAAGGAAACAGGTGAGTTTTAGCCTCTTTTAGAAGATGAAACTAAATATAGATATGTAGTGTTCACTCACATAGAGAAAAATTATTGCACCAAAGTAAGATTTGAGTTTTCAAATGTTTTCTGTTACTATTTCATATTTGCTAAATAACACTAATAGAAATCAGATTTAGAATAAATGGACAGTAACTAAAGTACAGCATTCCATATGTTTCTTACACTAGTTACCATTGCTTACCAATGATTGATAATACATGAATGAATGATTCTATCAGGATCCCGAGGTGGAGACATCAATCCACCTTCTAATGAGCTACGTGCGGGAGCTGCTTCAGAGTTGTCGTCAGTATCGTGATCAGCTCCTGGCATCTTGTCTTACTCTTATTCTACATCTTCCTTTGTGCATTGTGCAAGAGATCTTTCCCCAACTTGTCAGTCCATTACAGGTAATTCATGTGGTGGCAGTAATGTATATAATTGGTACTTTTGATGAGGATATTTTCTTTGAGATATTACTTCTCTCATATTCTCTCATTTCCTGATGATAATGTTTGGGAATGAAAGATAATATTTTGTGTATGACATTTACAATTTTTTGTGGTTCCCGTCCATTCATCTCGCATCAGATGGCCCTTCAACTTGGTGTGAGTTACTTACCATTAGCAGAGGTGTGTATATTAGCTCTGCAACTGTGGACAAAATCATTATCACAGGAGATTCTTAGTGAGCACATGCCGCATGTGTTACCACTCCTCCTTCCTTATCTTCGCTCACAGGGTAAGCACAATCCTAGTATTCCAGAAGTATAATGTGTAGTCTATATTTGTTGGTTTGATTCATTAGTTTCGTATATATTTGTGAATCTAACTCTGGATCTAGATTAGGCTTTCTTCTTCTTCTTCTTCTTCTTCCATTTCTTCCTCTCCTCCTCCTCCTCCTCCTCCTCCTCCTCCTCCTCCTCCTCCTCATGCAGTAATGCAATATTGTTTTTCCTGATAGCTTTGTATTGTAGGTAAGTCCAAACTAACTTTTTTTGGTTAAAATTTCATTGAAGTTTGTGAAGACATGTCATTCCATTAACCAAGTCTTTATTGCATTTTAGAATTATTTAAAGTTAGCTTTAAAGACAATTTAATTTTTACCTATACTCAACTTTGATTATAACCTTACTGGATAATTTGTGCTTGCAGTTTTCTAGGAATTACTTATACTACCCACAAAATTATTCTAATTTCTCTTTGCATTTTATTCAAATGTTACAGAGACTGGAGGTGAAGCAGAAGTACATACCCGTGTCATCACTGTGAAGATGGCATTTGCAAGACAGAGACGAAAAGTTGATCAGAAGAAGATAAAGGAGAGTAAAAGGGTAGGTATGATAAGGGAAATGGTCAGGAGTCCTTGTGGTTGCCATATTGGTTATTTTATTATTTTTGTAATCATTTAGTTATTATTATTATTATTATTATTATTATTATTATTATCAGTATTATTTTTATCATTATTATTCTTTTGTAATCTGCATCATCTTTATAATTGATATTCTCAGTTTTATTTATTTATTTATAATTGATTCCTCTCTCTCTCTCTCTCTCTCTCTCTCTCTCTCTCTCTCTCTCTCTCTCTCTCTCTCTCTCTCTCTCTCTCTCTCTCTCTTTCTTTGTCTGTCTGTCTGTATGTCTCTCTCTCTCTCTCTCTCTCTCTCTCTCTCTCTCTCTCTCTCTCTCTCTCTCTCTCTCTCTCTCTCTCTCTCTCTCTCTCTCTCTCTTTCTTTGTCTGTCTGTCTGTATGTCTCTTTCTCTCTCTCTCTCTCTCTCTCTCTCTCTCTCTCTCTCTCTCTCTCTCTCTCTCTCTCTCTCTCTCTCTCTCTCTCTCTCTCTCTCTCTCTCTCGCTTACTCTCTCTCTCTTACTCTTTTTCTCTTGCTCTCTCCCTTTCGCTGTCTCTATCTCTTTCTCTTTGTCCTTCTCTCCTCCTTCACTCCCTCCCTTTCTCCTTCCTTCATTCCCCCCCCCCCCCCATCTCTTCCTCATCCTTTCCTTCTCCCTTTCTCTCCCTTACTCAATTGTCCTGTCTCCCTTTTTTATGTATTTTCTTTCAATGTCAATTTCAGGTAGAAGAGACTGCAATGCAGAAAATTCAGCTGATGATCCTGCGTCTGATTGGGGGTTTAGATCCCCTTCTCCGCCTCCACACCATACCCAAGGATCCAGACACCATTGCTAGTGCTGCTGTCAGATGGAATATACAGAAACTTGTCAAATTTGCTACACCATTTGAGCATATTAAGATTGACATACATTTAGGTATAGTATCTTTTTTTATTGTTATGGAAATTTTATTTATTAATAAATGGGAATGTAATGAAGTTAGATCTGTTTGTTGTATGGTACACATATTCAGTTTTTTTCATAGATGATAACTTTTGTGTTTCAATGGTTGGAATTTTTGGTGGAATAAAGAAGGTTTGCATGCTTCCAGATGACCTTTTACCACATGTGGTGGACCTGGCCGTGAATTCTAGTGACAGACAGACTAAAGTTGCTGCTTCAGAACTTCTGCATTCTATCATCATATTGATGATTGGCACAGGTAAGCAGTATGTTTGTGTCTATTTTATGCTAATGGGAAAAATGTAGTTCTGAGTTTATCAGGCATTTTTGCTTCTCTCTAAATAGTGATATTGATATTAACATTTAAATTTATCATTTTAGGTGCACAAAAGAGTCAAGAAACACAGTTGAAAGAACCCATGGCACCTCTTTACCGGCACATATTCAGTGCCATGCTCCGTCTAGCCTGTGACCCAGACCATGTCACACGGCAGTTGTTCCTCACACTCAGCTATCAGACTATCCATTGGTTTACAAATAACAGGAATTTTGAAAATGTTGATACAATGGTCTTGTTAGAAGCCTTGATGGTGGGTATAAACTAGATTACAAAAAAGTTTTGAATCAGAATTTTTGTATGCTGGGAATTACATAATCATGTAACTTGGTCAAGATTGCTTACAAGGTATTATTGACAATATATGTACAGTGTTAGATATTTGAAAAAAAGAGAATATCAACTTTATAAAGTTTAATTTGTGCTACTTGATAGTATAATGAGTGATGGTGAATTAAACCATACAGTGTATTTTTTTATGAAGAACAGCAGCAAAATCAGTGTAGTACTAGAGGAAGAGTTAGGCTTCGCAGTTGTAGCTGTTGCTTTGATAGAATTACTGATTATCCTTTCAAATCTCCATTGAATTAGGAAGGCATTGTGACCGCTAATGACCCTGCCCTTCGAGACGTAAGCGCACAGTGCTTGGCAGAGTTTGTAAAGTGGTCTCGCAAGCAATGTCGTCAGCAGAATAGTGTGTCCTCAAACATCAAATCCATTATCAAGAGAATTTTTTCATTCTGTAAGCACCCAAGCGCCTTCAAACGCCTAGGTAAATATTATGCAGGCGACTTCTTCATGCTGAAGTATTGATATGTCTGCATATTGTTATTTGTTGATAATTTTGTTTCTATGATTCTGTTGTCAACATTACAAATATGTTTAATTTATTATGTTATTTGATATGACTTATGTAATGATAGTTGTATATAGTAAGAGGTCATGTTATTAGTTGTTCTAGTTCAGAGAAATTAATTAATTTGTGAATTAATTAGACTAATTAATACTGTTTTTCTTTCTTTCTTTTATTAGTCAGTCATAACATCATAAAAGTTGCTACAAATTGTGTCAAATTACAGGTGGTGCTCTTGCCTGGAATAGCATTTACCGTGAGATCCGCGAGGATGGCCAGGCTGTTGACATCTGGACTCTCGATCTGCTAGCTCATCTGATGACCTCCCTTGACCTAGCCCAAGCAGATGACCCAGCTCTGGGCACTCATGAGCAAACTAAGTCTGCTATTAATCACATTGAGAGGATCATTAGAGTAAAGAGTGATCTTTTCCAGAAGGTAAGATATATGTCATATGGCTTATTTTCGAGCTTTCCATTTTAATGAGATCTTCTTTTTTTTATTTTTTATTATTTGAATTTTATTATTTCAGTTTTCTCCCATTCTTTCTTGTAGTATTGATCCTGTTAACTTGTAATATAGTTATATTATTGATGGTATCACACTTATCAGCATAGGTATTTTTCACTATATGATATTACTTGTCTATTGCCAATCTCTCTGCCCAACCTCTTCCAAGAATTATGGTGTTTCCAATCGCCCCAAAATTTGATTGACAATTGTGAGGGTAATTGCCACCATAATTGCACCTATTATATTTATTTCAGAAATCAGGGCAACGGCGTTTACCTCCAGGTTTCGGTGACGGCTCTTTAGTGGATGTGCTGAAGTGGTTATTTGAGCAGTGTGGCAGGCCCAAAGCACTTGTCAGGCATACCTGTATGGAACTTTTAGCATCTTTAGCACCCCAAGTTAAAGGTCTGCAGAAGATTCTTTGTAATCTTTATCATATATGTGATTAGACGATGTATAATGGATTTAATTTATTGCTATTATTGTGTAATTATTGATGTGTTTATATTTTGATAAAGGTTTTTGTTAAAAGTTTGTGAAAATACTAAGTTTTTACTAAATATGTCACAGGTTGTGCATCAGTGCGGGACTTCATTGACAAGCATGTTGGAATTTCTAAATTAAGTGAAATTGTGGACATATTGGAAGGTGGGGGTGAAGCCAAGATGGGCATTAGTTATGTGAAAAACCCTACAGCATCTTCTAAGCATATTGGCAGTTCTCTTAAAGATATCCCCACAGCATCTTCTAAGCATATTGGCAGTTCTCTTAAAGATATAAATATATTCTTGGAGGTAAGATTGGAGTTTGATTGTTGGTTGTGTCATCAGCCAATTGTTATTCTTTTCTTTGTGTTACATCATTTGGTCTGGAAGGTGGGGGTGAAGCCAAGATGGGCATTAGTTATGTGAAAAACCCCACAGCATCTTCTAAGCATATTGGCAGTTCTCTTAAAGATATAAATATATTCTTGGAGGTAAGATTGGAGTTTGATTGTTGGTTGTGTCATCAGCCAATTGTTATTCTTTTCTTTGTGTTACATCATTTGGTCTGGAAGGTGGGGGTGAAGCCAAGATGGGCATTAGTTATGTGAAAAACCCCACAGCATCTTCTAAGCATATTGGCAGTTCTCTTAAAGATATAAATATATTCTTGGAGGTAAGATTGGAGTTTGATTGTTGGTTGTGTCATCAGCCAATTGTTATTCTTTTCTTTGTGTTACATCATTTGGTCGTGTTGTGGGTGTGTCATCAGCCAATTGTTATTCTTTTCTTTGTGTTACATCATTTGGTCTGGAAGGTGGGGGTGAAGCCAAGATGGGCATTAGTTATGTGAAAAACCCCACAGCATCTTCTAAGCATATTGGCAGTTCTCTTAAAGATATAAATATATTCTTGGAGGTAAGATTGGAGTTTGATTGTTGGTTGTGTCATCAGCCAATTGTTATTCTTTTCTTTGTGTTACATCATTTGGTCTGGACATTTTATGCAATATTTTGGTAAGAGCCAAAATATTCACCTATTTTTCTGAGTCCTCATTTGGGTATGTTATAGCTTTTTGCTTCCTTTCCTTAACAGTAGTTAGAGGACAATTTTTTTAGGGATGGTGGAGAGATGGAGCATATATACCCATACCCATATTCTTGTTTTACTGAGGAGATAATGCTAATATATAAGGGGATATTTTTCTCAGGATGTATAAAATGAAAGGTTGAATCAAAGGATGCATATCATATTTAGATTCCATGAAATGAAAGGAGGAAAAGTCACTGTAATTATATTCTCTTTGAACCAAAGAACTTATAGATATCTTACAGAAAGTAGAAACTGAGATATATTAAGAAAAATAGAATCACATTCTATGACAAACAACAAGAGGGAAATATAGGCAGCTAAAAGAACTTACTTTGATAGAAGTGTTTCATATGTTAAATAGGTAATGAAGCAGAATGAGGAAATGAGTGTTTTGATATAGTAAGAATGAAGATTCTTCTTTTCTTTCTTTCCAGGCATTGTCAGCTTCACTTGATGGCTACTGCTGGTTGATAGGCCAAGGAATAGTGCCAGCATCAAAACTTTTGAATCATTCAGAAATCCAACTTTTCTCTGCTACTACATATTTCATAAATGAGATGGCCATCCTTACTGTCAGTGAATATATGAAAAATCATGATACCTTTCAAAATGCAGTTGCTACACCGTATGAAACAGAAGCCACAGCTAAGCTCAAGTGTACTGTTATAGTGAGGTTACTGGACTTTGTGAGTGTTGTACTACAAGAAGGACCCAAGGTTGCTTCTCTCCTAAGCCAGCACTCAGTCTGGTCACCAACTATGTTCAGTCTTTTGACTAGCTGCACTCTTGACCCTGCTAGTGTTGGATTTAACATCAAAGACACTGAAGTCAGTAAACATTTGCCATCACGTTTAGAGGAAATTCTGGGAATTATGGCCCGTAGAGGACCCTCTGAAGTAATTAAGGAATACTCTGACTACCTGGAAAAACAATTACAGAAGCCAGAGAATGACATAATTAAAATGTTACCATTGTCATTATCTGAGACTGCACACATCAGCCTCAGAAGCAGACATGTCATTGAAGGTGTAGGAGTCTTGGAAAAAAGTGGATGGCTTGCAAAATGCAATGTGGTAAGTAGAATTTGGAATCATTTTGTAATTCTGTACATTCCTTGTTAATAAGTACTACCAGTGTTAAGACAGTTCTCCATTTCTATGCTAGTGAGAGAAACCTTGTCACTTCAATTTTATTCTGTTGTAAATTGACTATGCATCACTTCCAGGTCAGTTACTCCATAGCAAAGGAGTTAGTAGACTGGTTGTGTGGGAGTATATTCAAGGAGCAGAATTTGACGGTGTCCGGTATATCTCCCCATCCAAGTCTACTGAAGTTTTTATATGCTGTAATGCAATTGGCCATTACACTTGATCCAAAGGTGAGTTACAAGCAAATTTTGCTGTAGAGCTTAACATATAGAATTGAGCAAAAGCTAAAGATAAGAATGAACTCTAAATATAGTAAAATAGTCCTCACAGTACTCTGAGACCATTTAACCCAATGCTGACAGGCATGACGTGTATGTATGTGCCATGCCCACCGTGAGTTTACTTGTTTAATTGTTTTTACATATAGATGGCTACACTTGTACTAAGACACCAATGAACCTATTACGAGTACTGCCTGTCTTGCCTGTTCACCCTTTTCTGTGATCTACGAAAATATTTTATGTTATCTTATTTTGCTGTCACTAATAATAACATTATAGTAATTATAATGTTTATAATGAAAATAACACCATTGACCTTCATAGCACTAGTAAAAAATAGATTTTGCCAACCAATTCAAATCAGGCACGATCACAAGGTCTACTAATTGACTCCTTTGAGGCTAATCACTAGCAGAGCCATCTGTGTGCAGAGACATTTCCCAAAATAATATAAAGAATGAGCACAGCATTTTCCCCATTTTTTATTAATTTTTCCAGGTGGCATTGGGTTAAGTCTGTTAGCCAAAAATATAAAAAGTATCTCACTTTACATACAATTGATCAGTTCTTTGTTCCTTCTTTCTTTGATATGTCAGGAGGTTTGAACACAAGACTTCCTTTTAGAATGTCATATAGTTTCAAGATTGGCCCTCTCCCCCTCCAGGTGAAGCATCACCTTCTTAGCTGGGCCACCAACAACGACACTGTCACTGGAACTAGTGGGCAGGAGGTAGAAAAGGGATCACATGTTCTCAGTGTTCTCGGACCCAACTTGATTCCCCACTTCCTTGAATCCCCTGATGATGCGTTGTCTCGGTGCGTTGAAATGATTCGTGAAGGAAGATTTCTGCCTGCCATGGGATTTGCTTCTGCTCTCCTCACCTGTCTCATTAGGAATGCTGACATTAGGAAAAGGTACTTTGTTATTATTATTATTATTATCATTATCATTATCATTATTATTGTCATTATTATTATTATTATCATCATTATTATTATCATTGCCATTATTTTTATTATTATTATTAGTTATTATTGTTATTATTGTCATTATTATTGTCATTTTTGTTATCATTATTGCTATTATTATTATTGTCATTGTTATCATTATCATTATCATCATTATCATCATTATTATCTTGATTATTATCATGATTGTTATTATTATTACTATTATTATTATTATTACTATTATTATTATTATTATTATTATTATTATTATTATTATTATTCACTAGTTCTGAAACTGAAGATAACAATTCCTCATGTCTTATTTCTTAAGTATCATATATACTAGGAGCTTCTTAAATGTTTAATTTTCTTCCAAAGTGGTGTCCTTGTATAGTATTTACATTTGCTGGCCACATTTATCTCTTTATTCTTTACAGGCATTCAGTCAAAGTTGTCCAAAGTTTCCTGAAGCATTGGCCAACACTTGCAGCTCAGGCGGGCAAGACAAGCCTTCACCAAGATTCGGTTCTTGGTCTGCTTTCATCCCTCTTCCTGATTGATCGCGAGGGCATAATAAAAGGCCACTGCACCAATTCAAGGTCTGATATTGTTGTATTTTACAATGGTAGCCTGGCAGATGCAAAGGTAGAACTTCAGGCCAAGATAAAAGTACTGAAGCTGCTCCCCTTTTTCTTCGCAATGGGAGAGGACATTGCAAAGTCTGTCAGGTAAAGATTCTCCTGCAGTATGTAATAAACCTTAATTTTTTCTCTTGTTTCTAGATTGGTAGCTTTTATTTGAAATCATAGATGGCTTCCATTGACATATTTAGCGTATTATTCTCTCGTAATTGTGAGTTGTAATTGATTGTTATTATGTCTGTTAATTTTGTGCTTCCTTTTCATTGTACATGAAGATTTTCAACAGATGGGAATTCATTGGTATTAAAATGAAAAATTTTGGAATTAACAGATTTTGAAATTCATACATGTATCCATTTATTTATTTTTCTAGTGAAGCCATGGAAATGCTGAGCCTGAACCACTTTCCTCTTCATTCAACGGAATTTCCTCAAGGAGGAGCCCGAGATCGCGAGTATCAGCAAGCGCTCTGTGAGATTTTAACAGCCTTAGAATTGTCACTGTCTCCCATACTTCTCCGGTTTGTTATCAAGTAAGTCTTTATGTGAGGCTGAAGTGGTATGGTTGTTTTTAGGGTTTAATCCTTATTAATGCTTATATTTTTATTTCTATTTTTAATATACATTAAGCATTCTGAAATACTAGATGTATATGCTTAAGAAAAATTCATATTGGCTAGCAGTGTCAGTGTCAGTTATTGGACATAAACTTTGATTGTATTTTTATGAAAAGAAGCACTACAACAAGGATTTTGTTTTCAGCCTTTTCTGTCGAGAAGATAAACACCGATATGAAGAGGCAATGCATGAGTCCTTGGAGAAATTTATGAAAAAACTGCCATTACTTAAACAGCAAGAAACTTTGAAACATATTTACGATATGTACAATGATCCTTTGTGTGTTAAGCAAAATCTAAGGTTAGTTGAATCCTTGCATTTCATCCTTGGTGAAAGTGAGCTTAGCATTATTGACCTATTTAAGCTTTAGTTCTGCTTTCAGCAAAAGTGGTAATGCTTTTCTTAGGTTTAGTTTAAATATTTTGTTGTTGTAGTATAAGTCCTTGGAAATAACTGCTTTTCTCACTTATTCAGCTGATCTTGGGTGAGGTTGGCCATGGTTTGCCAAGAAGGTTTATCACAGTGTAGATCAGGAGTGTTGTCAACGAGAAGAGATTTGAGGAGGGACTACATTTAGATTATACAAACTGATATCAGATTTTTGTTTTTAAGTCTTTAATACATGAATGTTTCTTTCTGACAGATACAACATAATGGACCTTGTTTTAACTCCACTCCTCCAGCAAGCCGAAGCAGTTCCAACACAGAATTTCTTACTAAGTGTGATTAGTGCCGTCATGGCTGGTATGTCGGCCCCAGTACAAGGACGATCAGACGAACAGCACAAAACTCTCGTGACTAAAGTTGGAAGCTTCATGATTTTGCAGGTTGGTGATTTACTTGTTATGGATTTATCATTTTGTGTATCTGTATCTTTGCCACTTGGTGGCAATGGGTTAATATACTATAAATTAAAGAAACCGTCCAAACAGTGTTTTACTTATTTATTTATTTCTCATCATTGTCAAACAAAGAGCCGTTTTTTTTCATCGCCATCTATTGTTAAACTCCTTCTTGCCTGTTCAGTTTGGGAGTTTGTCCTTTGCCAAGAGCCAACAAACACAGAAGTTGCTCTACTAAGTTAATATTGCTATTGCCAGTTTTTGTATCAGTAATTTTTTTTTCTTGGCATGTGTTTTCCATTATAGTAATCACATCATTAATATGAACAAACCAAACCATTGCTTAAATATTTATTTTTGTATGAGATAACACATGGTGACAATATTTTTCCTGAAGTTACCAGCAGACTTACCAGTACTCCGACTGCTGGTAAAATTTACCATGGAAACTCCACTGGCAAGCTGTTAGTGAATACCACCGCTGTCTGGTTATGATCGTAATTGTAGTTACCTCTGATTTTACCATCATAAGTGCATTAGTGAATCCAGCCCCAGAATATTATGAGTTCTCTCTCATCTTCAGACATGAAAAAATATGACTGACTTTTCCCAAAAGGAAAGAAATATGAGATGAGATTTTGAAGGTTTAAGGTTTATGTAACAGTATTTATCTCATTTAGCCTCTGTAATGAATTTCTATAGATGTGAAGTTTCAGAAACTGGTATCAAAATTTCATCACAAAATGAGCCTGATTTCTAGATTACAAAGTTCTTGAATGAATGTTGTTAAAACTGTACAAAGAGTTGATTTACTTTCCACTAGTTTTAGATTTTTTATGTTTTTCTTATTGAAATAATATAGAATTTATAATATCAGTTACCTTGATATTGGAGAATGTATATATATTATAGTCTACGATTTGTTTCAGATTATGTATTCCAAGTTGCCACGTGAGAAGCTCTTTGCCCCTGGTTCAGAGATCAATGCAGCTTTTCGTCCTGGCGACCAATCAGGAAAGGAGCTAACAAAGGAGATTTTTCGTTATGCAGCCAAGATCTCCAAAGGTGAACTCCGTCATGACCAAACACATGGCGAGCTAAGAAGATTGTGTGCTTGTGCAGCATACAATGCTATTATTGCAGTTCTGGCATGTGTCCAGAATGATCTGAGGTTTTATACAAATTTTTTGTTTTCTGCAAATCCCACAAAGGGAGAAGTGATTTGGGAATGTTTGGTCGACTGCAGTAAGAAGTTGGAGTTTGATGTTGAGATAAACTTCAAGCCAACAAGCAAAAAGAGATTTGTTGCAGTGAGACAGAAATTGAGAGAGGCTGCCCGTGAAGAAGGGGTTGTAGCTGCAGGGACAGTACAGTACATGGCATCACACTACTTATCTGACAGCAGTTTACGAGAAGATATGAGCCAGTTTGACTTCAACAACTCTGTCGTCCTCGCAATGTCTCAGACGGAAAGTTCTTCAGAAAGGTAAGAATAATTTTTATTGTATGAAGGCTTGTTTTAGGAATAGATGTAGAAAATACTGTACTAATTTTTTTACGATTTTGTGAAATGTCTCTGCACATAGATGACTCTGTTAGTGCTTAGCCACGAAGGAGTCAATTAGTAGACCTTGTGACCTTACCTAATTTCATCTTTCCCTGAATTGGCGGGAAAAACACATATTTTACTAGTGCTACGAATATCGATAGTGTTATTTTTATTATAGATATTATAATTATTATAATGTTATAAATGATAGTAACAGCAAAATGAGATAACATAAAATATTGTGGTAAATCAAGGAAAAGTGTAAACGGGTGAGACAGGCAGTACTTGTAATTGGCTCATTAGTGACCTAGGACACATGTAGCCATCTATGTGTAAAAACATTTAATAAAGTAAACTCACAGTGGGCATGGCATTTACGTACATGCCATGCCTGTCAGCATTGGGTTAATGTTGTTGCATAATGAAAATTACTTGCTTATTGTTTATACGTTCTGTTTGCCAGTCACTAAGACTAATATTTTTACAACTTTTGTTAGAGTGGCTGCTGCAAATGAAATGGGAGGTGTGCTTCTGCCTGTACACATGGACCAAAGTGACTATAATGGCCATGAAGTCATGGCAAACTTGACAGCTGTCATAAACCACATGGTGGATGCAGAGATCATGGTTTTACATAAAGGGGTAAGTCTAGTGTCTTTTGTTCTGTTTACTGTTCCCTTTTGGTCTTCCTTTCCTTCTCTTTACATCTTTACCTGAATTGTTGCTTCTATCTAAAGAATTTTTTCCCTTCACTTCATCCTTTTTTTCTTTCTATTTTTCTCTGTTTTTTACCTCTCTTTGTTTCTGTTTCCCTTTTCTTCTTTTCATGGAGTGCAGTGTAAATCTGAAAAACATTCTTATATGGCTGCTCTTCTTTCCTGAGGCACATGCTTGTATTATGATGATCTAATCTTGCAGGACACCGTGCCCAAGGCAACAGATGTACCCCAGTGGATGACCCTAGTGCAACAGAAACTTGACGGTTCTGATACTCCCCGAAATGTAAAACTTTTCCTTCTCCGTGTCATGATGAACAATGCAAGGATTTTTGAGCCTTATGCTGCCCATTTTGTATCTACCATCTTAACGTGCTTGGTAGATGGAACCATAGGAGATAAGATTAATTATTTCTTCTGTGATGTTGTAAGTTTTATGCCTATTGTTTTATTTATTTTTCAAGTCTTTATTTTATAGTGTTGAATGGGAGGAGGAGGATAATGATCATGAAAAAAAACATACATTATGAATATGTCTAATTCTGTATGAAGTTTTATGTTGTTTACTGAATGATCGTTATCATTTGTGTGTGTAGAAGCAAAGTTCTGTGTTTTACAGATGGTGATGGTGATGGGATGGGGTTCCAAAGCTGTGCCAGAGGATACTGTAATGGGAAGGAATATCGTTAGCCGTGTCTTGCGGTACCTTTGCATGAACACTCCACAGACTAGAGCAGATATTTTCAAGTATAATCTTGATGTTGTAAGGTATGTTGTGTTTTGTGATTTTAGACTTTGTATATGTATATATATAATTATATGTTTATATAGATAATGAGTAATATTCTTTGAGGTAGGAGAGTGGGAGATTTGGATTGTCCATTTTGTTTTTACTATCTGAATTTTGCTTGAAACCACAGTTTATTGGATCCTTTTGATGTGGCTAAAAGTTTTTCTTTCTTTCTTCTCTTCTGTTTTCTTTTCTTTTTCTTCTAGTTTTAATTTTATATATATTTTTTTTTATTTTATTTCTCTCTTTTTTATTTTTATTTCTCTTTTTCTTTCTTTCTTTCTTTTTTCTTCTAAATTTGTAGTTACTTTGGCAGAAATGCTGATGTGGTTGATGAAATGAATTGCTTATTAAAAACTACTTTGCACATTCTCCTTCTTCAGGTCTGTGGTTGAGTGTTGGAAGAGTCTACTGACAGTTCCATACACGGTAATTTATTCCCTGATGGAAGTTAAAGATGGGGCGGAGAGGGAAGTTGAGGCTGGCTTGCAGCTCCTGGGAATCATCTTGGCCAATGGACTTCCTCCTTACACGGTTGATTCGGAAACTGAGAAGAAAAGGTAAAATGATTGCTTATTGCACTTATGATGTATTTGTTGTAGATACCAGGTAATCACTTTTCTCTGTTGCTATATATGCTCTAATCGTTTATTGAAATATAGTAATAAACTATATCATACAGTATTGATGTCTTTCTTGCTGTTGTCACTGTGGCACTGCTATAAGTCAGCCTCAATTGTTTGACAGTTGAGAATCATCAGTAAAAGGGAAAAAAAATATGGCAGGTCTTAAAAGGTGATAATGATAGATGATCGCCCTCCAAGTTGGCATAGTCCATTGTCAAAATTACTTGCTCTTTTATGTGGATATTAATTTTTGCTGTATCAGGGACCTGCTTTGCTTTTTCAGGTGCTTCAGTTAACCCCTATGATTTGGATGACATGATCATCACGTCATGAAAAAAAGTGACTAGAAGGGCAGCCGTCTTGGGATAATATGGGTAGGGGTGACGGGAACTCGCCATGAGATCATAAAGCTCTTGGAGGGTGATTAGACTTATTTGGTGCTTAGAAAAATTCTTTTGCATTATTTCCATCGATAAACAAGTGTGGAATGTTATGTCCCTGAACAATGAGTGGAAGAGTTCTGGCTCTAGGGAGGATACTTTTTCTATACTTAGAATCCTATTTCTTCCCAACATGAAGGGGGGGGCAGGTAGTATTACAGAAATTTAATATGAAAAAAAGACACAAAAAACAAAATGTTACTTATTGTTATTATTGCACTGAGTCTGCAAGGAAAACAGTCTCATACCATCTGCATAAATCAAATTAAATGCCAAATATAGACTTTGGAAAATGGCAAAAAAAAAACTAGAAGTGCTTATGCCAAAAAAGAGAAAGTAGTGCAAAGGGCGGCATGGAGTCTTGTAACTACACACAAGATAAAAATCTGGCATAGTTTCTACTCATATAAGCTTAACTCTTAGATGATGGTATTAGAAATCTCTCAGCATCAGTGACTGGTGATTTCTGGCAACCATCCTGCCATTCGGAGTGGGTGTCCGCTACATGTAGCAGAACTTACTTGGCAAATCAAGCGGTTTGTTATGACGGTTATGCATGCGGCCCAGCAGTAACGGGTTAATGCCCATATTTTGGGTTACATTGGCAGTGAAGTATCCAAATCCAATGGATTAAGGGGCTAATCGTCATTCCAACTGTCTCCTTATTTACATATTCATGTAATAGAATCTCTTCTTTATCTTTCACATTAGGCTTTACCCTCTTGCTGATTGTTTTTAATGATTTTTAGATCTTTATAATTCTAAATGAATTTGCAGTTACTTTCTAACATCAGTTTTCTCTCTCTCCCCCTCATTAAATGCTAGATGTGAGTCTCTTGTGATCAAGCTTCTAGGTGCACACTATGCCAGTGTGTATGGAGCTGCTGCTGAAGTTATGGGCCTCATCCTAAAGTATGCGTCTCAGGAAGAAGGTAAGAGCTATTTATGGTCTAGGATTCAGTTTAAGAAATTGGATGTACTACAATTGTGAACCGAAAGTATAAGGCTTGGTGATATCAGAAAGAGAACTTTTATGTAAAAAATTGTTCTCTGTAATATAAACATTAGATATTAATATGGGAGCTATCTTCTTTTTTGGGAAAAAAGTCCAAGGTTTCATACTTGGAATATTAGCTGCATGATCTATGTTTCCTTTCAGACTTAGACATAAGTAATCAGTTGATCATCATGTTAGTATTTTTCGTATTGGGTCTAATAGTCTTGGACAGTCTCTGATCACTCTTTGAGAAATGAAGAATCTGTAATTTCATTGAACTTCATTCTTACTCCATTATTTGTAAACCTTTTGGTTAGAATCAGATTGTGTAAGCTTACTGATTAGATTCAAAGCATGAATCCTCTCCTGCCAGGTTCAGTTGATGCACTAGAGGATGCAGTGGTTAAGAGGGTAACTGAATTGACAGTCAGGATGCAAGGGCAAGGGCTGACATGTGTCTACAAATATCCATAAGCATTATCCTTCTTTTGTAAGAGGTGAGTTCAGTTCTTCATGATGGTATTAGAAATCTCTCAGCATCACTGACTCTAGTGATTTCTGGCAACCGTCCTGCCATTCGGAGTGGGTGTCCGCTACATGTAGCAGAACTTACTTGGCAAATCAAGCGGTTTGTTATGACGGTTATGCATGCGGCCCAGCAGTAACGGGTTAATGCCCATATCTTGGGTTACATTGGCAGTGAAGTATCCAAATCCATTGGATTAAGGGGCTAATTGTCATTCCAACTCTCTCCTTATTTACATATTCATGTAATAGAATCTCTTCTTTATCTTTCACATTAGGCTTTATCCTCTTGCTGATTGTTTTTAATGATTTTTAGATCTTTATAATTCTAAATGAATTTGCAGTTACTTTCTAACATCAGTTTTCTCTTTCTCCCCCTCATTAAATGCTAGATGTGAGTCTCTTGTGATCAAGCTTCTAGGTGCACACTATGCCAGTGTGTATGGAGCTGCTGCTGAAGTTATGGGCCTCATCCTAAAGTATGCGTCTCAGGAAGAAGGTAAGAGCTATTTATGGTCTGGATTCAGTTTAAGAAATTGGATGTACTACAATTGTGAACCGAAAGTATAAGGCTTGGTGATATCAGAAAGAGAACTTTTATGTAAAAAATTGTTCTCTGTAATATAAACATTAGATATTAATATGGGAGCTATCTTCTTTTTTGGGAAAAAAGTCCAAGGTTTCATACTTGGAATATTAGCTGCATGATCTATGTTTCCTTTCAGACTTAGACATAAGTAATCAGTTGATCATCATGTTAGTATTTTTCGTATTGGGTCTAATAGTCTTGGACAGTCTCTGATCACTCTTTGAGAAATGAAGAATCTGTAATTTCATTGAACTTCATTCTTACTCCATTATTTGTAAACCTTTTGGTTAGAATCAGATTGTGTAAGCTTACTGATTAGATTCAAAGCATGAATCCTCTCCTGCCAGGTTCAGTTGATGCACTAGAGGATGCAGTGGTTAAGAGGGTAACTGAATTGACAGTCAGGATGCAAGGGCAAGGGCTGACATGTGTCTACAATATCCATAAGCATTATCCTTCTTTTGTCAAGAGGTGAGTTCAGTTCTTCATGATGGTATATAGTTCTTTAGTGTTTTGTCATACTCTTGGTGTTCATGACTGTTTAGTGCCTGAATACTTTAATATTCTGTATCATCCTTTTACCTCTATAGAAAGTCATTTATGTCTGTGTGCTGATTGTGTTTGCAGATTGATCAACAAACTCCTGAATCTGCTGCCCAAGTTATATGGCATCCATCGCAAAAATGTCCTGGAATGCCTAATTTCTCATTCTGCTACCATGGACGATATTTACCTTCATCTCAAAGAGCAGAATCTCCTTGATATCCTTTCAAAGAAGTAAGCATTTTATCATTCTATGTTGGTTATTTAAAATTGTGGTTCTTCTTTCACTTAGTTATTGATCAATGTGATTACTGTTTATTTTTGTTTTTGGTATTATTATCTTTACAATGGTCATTGATTTAAAATTATTATATGAGTGGTCTGTATAATTATATTTCAGTTATTACTTAAGATGTTGTTTTCTATGAAGAGGTATGAATTGAGTTACATTATAATCAATCACCATTTTGTACTTGATCATTTCAGAGAAGCATCAACACAGCTAGTGGCCCTTCAGTTGGTGAATGCTGTCATGCCACGACTCACACCCTCACAGTTATTGTATTTTATGCCAGGAGTGGTAGCTTTTGCAACTCACCCAGCACCTAGTTGTCGAGAAACAATGTATGATGTCCTGTTTGGGTCTATGACAATTTCAGGTGAGTTTTCTTCTCTGTTATGAATCTGTAAAAGATTAAAGAGAGCTCTTGTGGAATGGAAGTGTGACAGTGTGTATATATGTATTCTTGTGCTTGAACTGGTTTAGGTTCTCTCTCTCTCTCTCTCTCTCTCTCTCTCTCTCTCTCTCTCTCTCTCTCTCTTCATTGAACTTCATTCTTACTCCATTATTTGTAAACCTTTTGGTTAGAATCAGATTGTGTAAGCTTACTGATTAGATTCAAAGCATGAATCCTCTCCTGCCAGGTTCAGTTGATGCACTAGAGGATGCAGTGGTTAAGAGGGTAACTGAATTGACAGTCAGGATGCAAGGGCAAGGGCTGACATGTGTCTACAATATCCATAAGCATTATCCTTCTTTTGTCAAGAGGTGAGTTCAGTTCTTCATGATGGTATATAGTTCTTAGTGTTTTGTCATACTCTTGGTGTTCATGACTGTTTAGTGCCTGAATACTTTAATATTCTGTATCATCCTTTTACCTCTATAGAAAGTCATTTATGTCTGTGTGCTGATTGTGTTTGCAGATTGATCAACAAACTCCTGAATCTGCTGCCCAAGTTATATGGCATCCATCGCAAAAATGTCCTGGAATGCCTAATTTCTCATTCTGCTACCATGGACGATATTTACCTTCATCTCAAAGAGCAGAATCTCCTTGATATCCTTTCAAAGAAGTAAGCATTTTATCATTCTATGTTGGTTATTTAAAATTGTGGTTCTTCTTTCACTTAGTTATTGATCAATGTGATTACTGTTTATTTTTGATTTTGGTATTATTATCTTTACAATGGTCATTGATTTAAAATTATTATATGAGTGGTCCGTATAATTATCTTTCAGTTATTACTTAAGATGTTGTTTTCTATGAAGAGGTATGAATTGAATTACATTATAATCAATCACCATTTTGTACTTGATCATTTCAGAGAAGCATCAACACAGCTAGTGGCCCTTCAGTTGGTGAATGCTGTCATGCCACGACTCACACCCTCACAGTTATTGTATTTTATGCCAGGAGTGGTAGCTTTTGCAACTCACCCAGCACCTAGTTGTCGAGAAACAATGTATGATGTCCTGTTTTGGGTCTATGACAATTTCAGGTGAGTTTTCTTCTCTGTTATGAATCTGTAAAAGATTAAAGAGAGCTCTTGTGGAATGGAAGTGTGACAGTGTGTATATATGTATTCTTGTGCTTGAACTGGTTTAGGTTCTCTCTCTCTCTCTCTCTCTCTCTCTCTCTCTCTCTCTCTCTCTCTCTCTCTCTCTCTCTCTCTCTCTCTCTCTCTCTCTCTCTCTCTCTCTCTTTCTCTCCCTTTCTCTCCCTTTCTCTCCCATCTCCCTTTCTCTTCTCTCTTTCTCTCTCTCTCTTTTTCTCAACCCAAGAGTTTCTTCACTCAAAGTAACTTTTTAAAGTAAATGTGTTTATGTTAGAAATGTTTTGTATAGACCTTCAAATATTATTTCAGCAGTTAAACTAAACAGGATTAACTTTCCACCTTACAGAAGGGGGGAGAATACTGTTAGTGAACAGACTTAATAAAAACCAGTACCTTTAAACCAATGATATTAAAGTTACCTCTGAGAATCACTAAAGGTGTAGAAGCTGAAATCCTGAGAATATCATGGAGATTTGAAGGATTAGTCTGAATATACATGAGATGTATGGAGGATATTTGTCATATTAAGTGTATGATGATTTTCATCACTAACACTTAAGGGAGTGTTAGGGAAACAACTAAAAGAAACCTTTGATATAGAGACCAGAAGGTTTCTCAAGTATAATCTTATAAAGTTATGATCACTGCATGGTTACTTATAAGATTTTGTTAATTCAGGTGTAAGTGTAACTTATTTACTGCTATTATTATTATTATTATTATTATTATTATTATTATTATTATTATTATTATTATTATTAACATAATCAAGGAAAGGGTAAACAAATGAGATCAGGTAGAATTAATAATTCACTCCTTTGTGACTAAACTCTGTGTATACAAAGTAAGTAGACTAGATTAGAATTGGATATGCCATATATGTTCATGAGATCCTAGTGTCAACAAGTTAAGAAGCCTTTAAAGGTATGGGAAAATATATCCATTGAAGATTATTTTCCTTTATAGTAACAGTGATACTGAAGATGGGCATCAGCTGGAATCCCAAGCTCGTGGCGTGTTGCTTAGGGCAGTAAAGGAAGAGGATGCTGCTCTCCGCCAGATTGTTCTCAACTTCTGGTTGCAGGGTAATGCTTAACATGTGCCTTGTGTATTTTATTTTTACTTGTATAGCTAATAGTTGTATAACAAAAGATTATAGAAAATACACTTTTTCTTTCTTTTTCATTTAGGAAAATAAGCAATAAAATAAGATAACTTTCATTAGTTTCCTTTTGTTAGTTGATTTTCTGCTTCCATTTGTTTGAGTTTCTCTCCCCTATTTGTTGTCAAAAGGTAAATATTATAGGAAAGCATAATCTGCATTGTCTTGGAGATTCCACAAAGTATGTATTGTTTTGCAATGAATAGAGATACAGATTTGATGTTATAATGGTGCTCTTTCTTAATCAGAGATATAATTTTCAGGTGCACGAAGTATGACCTTAACTCAATGCCTCCTTCACATCCTGAGAAAGATGTACAGCCCAGAGAGTGAGGACTCGTTCTTGCAGATGGCTATTTATGTTCTCTTAGAAGCAACAAGGCACTCGGCAGATTACCAGAGGAATATATTTGACCAACCACTGACTGAGTGTAAATTCAGGGTAAGTATTGCACATTTCTGCTCATAAGAATCCATATGTAAGGAAGGTTTGTGAAAGTCATATATTTTTATTATTAACAATATTAGTATCATCATCATTAATTCATATATTAAAGAGTATGAAATATTGGAATAGTTCTGTATACCAATGTTACTACTTGCTTTTATGGGATAATCCATGTAAGTAGTATATTGCTAACTAATAAAAAGTAATTGATCATTGTCTGTACACTCATCCAAACAGGAAATGAAAGTGAGTACAGCATGGCGTGCCAGGCATGCATCCATGATCCCAATGTTTGCAGAGACTCAGGCAGGCAATGACACTTCTTTAAACTCCCTGTTGTCCTACACACAAGGGAGTGATACAGATATGGAAACTGATGGTCCAGCGGGTGTGCAGGCAACGCAGGCAAATGTTTTTTCTGCTACTCAAGCGCCTGGTAATATATCAAGTTGAAAGATGTTGTGTAGTATGGTTATAATTGTATTTAATGTATTATTACCTCTGAAAAAATGCCAAGGAATATGGTATACAGTATTAGCTTATCAAAGACTTACGGATTGTTGGTAAACTGTTTATATTTTATGGCTGACATCAGATTAGATTATATACCAATGTAAGTTGTGTGATGTGAATTATTAATTTTGCCTAAACCCATTCATGCCGGGTGTCACGTATACGTGACATGCCCATTGTGAGTTTACATGTTTAATTGTTTTTACACATAGATGGCTACACTTGTTGCGATTACTGCCTGTCACCCCGTTTACCCTTTTCTTTAATTTACAAAAATATTTTATGTTACCTTATTTTGCTGTTACTAATGTTTATAACATTATAGTAATTATAATGTTTATAATAAAAATAACCATCATTATTCATAGCACTAGTAAAAAATACATTTTCCCTCCAAATGAAATCAGGTAAACCAGAGCCATCTATGTGTAGAGACATTTCACAAAAAAATATGAGAAATGAGCACAGCATTTTCCCCATTTTTTGTTCATTTTTACCTGTCGCAAAGGGGTTAAATACATTTTGGTGATTTGATAATGCATATATGATGAATTGAATTTACTTTTATTGGCAGTTTACACTCCACAACAACCCCTTAAAAACTAGAGCTGCTATAATAGTCACCTCAATGTCAGTATGATTAAAGTCCCCAAAAAACTTGCAGTAACCAATAGATAAACAAAGCAACTGTAACCATCAATACCTTTGGTTTTTATATGTCCTTTTGTGACACAAGTAGATAAAGAAATGTAATGTCCTGTCTACAGGTGCCACTTACAACTGGGTCACGGATTCAACTTTTGACACTACATTGGCTGACATGGAGTATGAAGCCACTCATGCTCCCACACAGGGATCCACCTCTGGACTCATTTTCAATGTTGGAGCTTCAGGTCAGTATTTATTTCTATAGATAGGTAATGCTTTAAAGTGGTTGGTAATGGATGAAATAGAAAAGACACAGGAAGTGATAATGATGATAAAAGGATTTATGTAACTATAAGTACGTCTATATATCTCTTTTAAAATATCATGCTCTATCTACAAAGTTTTATGACATCTTATTCGCAGGCCAGAAAGACATGAAGCGTTTCAAGCGTCCAGGTATTGGGAACTCCAGAATGAGACCTGCAGATGAACCTGATGGTAATGGTAAGAATTAAGAGGAGCTGAAGTTTGATATAGGTTATGAAACAAAATACCCGGTGAAGAGATTAGTTAGTCACCTACAGTGTGTCTTTGTTATATTACCTATTTGAGATTAAATTTTCCAAGGTTGAGCAAATGGATTAGTATGTTAATAGGTTATTTCTTTATGTAACATGTTAGTTAAATGTGAGGTAAATATCAAACAGACAAATCAAAATTGTTCTTGTTTAGCTTACTTTTTATGCATTGATTGATTGATTTATTATTTATTCTTTTATATACAGATGCAGCTGATACTAACCAGTCAAAGTTGATAAGGAGAAGATTTGTGAAGAACCAGGACAGGGAAAAAGAGTCTATTTACTTTGCCAAAATGGAAGAAAGACGTAGTAAACTAAGAGAGAAGTTAGAGAAGGAGAGGAAGCTCAGAAGAGAGGCCCAGGTATGTGAATATGTAGATTGATCAAGCCATTTTATGTATTTTTGACATTTGTGCTTGCCCTCTTGTGTGGATTGATTAAACTTCCTTTTTTTACCACATCATCCCCTTCACCACCATGTGGATAATTTTATAATAGCTACCCTTTATTAACTTTATTTTCATCCTGGAACTTTAAGATCATATTTAAATCATTTAGAAACCTGGTTACTCTTAGAAGCAATCTAACTTCTAAAGTATCCCTGCTTATTGATATTTTGATGTAATTTTATACAGTACTAGTTTACTGTTTCTCTGCAGTTGAGCAAGTGAACTTCATAAGGAGTTAGTATTGCTGTTAAAAGAGGATGAAATTTTGTAGAGAGGTCTGATGTTTCTTTTCTTTTTTTCTGCCAGGTAACAATGTACAGGCAGTATCGTGTTGGTGAGCTTCCAGATGTCCAGATTCCTCATCGGGCTTTGATTGCACCCTTGCAAGCACTCTCCCAGGTTTGTTGTTAACTAAAAGTTATCTTAGATTGCAGGAATTACTAGCTCAGCCTTTTGTTTTCATTACAATTGATTTAACTAGCTGCTTGTGTATTTGATGCCAAAATACTCAGATTAGTGTATGATAGTTTTACTTGTATGATAAGCAATTCCTGATGCCTGAATTAGAGACTCTTTTCCTGATTGTTTGTTTTCCTTCTGCAGCGTGATGAGAAGGTGGCTCGTTTACTGTTTGAAGTCCTTGCACAGGGTATGATAAATAGTGCAGAGGCTACTATGCCCCACAGAGAAGAGCAAGAGTGGAACCAGCAGTTGCATGAAGCCCTTAACAGCATCCTTAGTAGCAGTTATATGTGTTGCCCACAAATGCTAAGGACAGTGTTGCATTTGATGATCAACAATGATGTTAGGACTAACCCTGAGACACTAACAGCAGGTAAAGATGCATTCTTTTAAGTCTCTCTGAGAGATGGGGGCAACTCTAGCACTATTTCTCCGGTGGTTTCAAGTAATGTTTTCTTTTGTTCATTGTTGTGGTTCAGTTTTCAAATTTCAATAATACTCACAGAGGTTTTGGCTAAGTGAGAGCTCATTCATGTCCAAGTATCTCTCCCCAAATTCTTTTTCTGTTTCTGAAAAATAGATAGAATATTTTACAAAGTAAGATTCAATCACTAAGAGCAAGAAAACATCTCCATGAATAGATTTTTAGCCTTATGCTGCCGGGATGGCATGTACTTATATGCCATTCCCACTGTGAGTTTAATTCATTAATTGTTTTTATGCATAGATGGCTCCACAATATTAAGTCACCAGTGAGCCAATTATGACTACTACCTATCTATCTCACCTATTTAAGTTTCCCTTGATTTTTGGAAATATTTTCTAGTATCTTATATTGCTATTAGTAATGTCCATAACTTTATAGTAATTATAATATTTACAATGATAATAACAGCATTGATATTAATAGCATTAGTAAAAACAAATTTTTCCCACAAATTCAAGGAAAAGTGAAATCAAGTGAGGTCACAAGGTCTAATGATTGACTCCTTTGTAGCTAATCACTTGTGGAGCCATGTATGTGCCGAGACATTTCACAATACCAGTGGGTTAAGGCGACAGTTATTATAATCTCATCTTAATTAGCAACATGACCATTGAGATCCATAAAAGAGTACAACACTTTCTTTTATCAGCTTGTTTGGGAAGTCGAATGGAAGCATTAGGCATCTTGGTGCTGGAGAGGCAGGCTTTGCTGTCCAAGCGAGGAGAGGAGCCACACCCAGCGCGTAAGAAGATGCGCAGAGATGCAGATGCCCTGTCTCAGGATGATGCCCTTTGGCTTAGCATTGCTGAGTAAGTTTCTTAATTTCCTAGATTTGGAAAGAACCTTCTTCTTTTTAATCACTCATTAATTTCAGATAAGAATTTAAGTTTACACTGAATGTAAAAGCTGGATAATATTTTGGTGGCAGAGATAAATAAACAAGAGATAGTTAACAAGTAAAGTCCCCCCCAAATATTATGAATGTTCAATTTCACTCTCCTTGTCAGAATGTACAAGAGTCTGAACATGTGGGATGTGGTAAGAGGAGTCGTGCAAGGAAAACTAGGAGCCATAAAGGAGGAAACACAGAAGGCACTTGAGGCAGAAGCAACAAATAGCCATGTGAAGGCATTCCTTCTCTATCGCCAATCCCTAGACACTACTGACTGGGAAGAGGAACCTTTGCCGGCAGAAGTAAGGATATCTCTTTCTGCCCTTCTTTCCTACATTTCTCCTATATGTATTGGATACATATAGTAGTTGTCAAGATATCTCTTCCCATTGTCTCTTTCTGTATTTTTAATGTGTTTTAGTACTCATTTATCAGGTCTCTTTCTCCCATTCAAAGCTAGGTCATCAGCTTGTGATCAGACCAACTTTTGCAGTTCCCTTTGTGTCTGGTTTCCGTAGAAAGCTTTACTGCTTTTTCTCTTTTTTTCCACCTCTTGCAAACTTTGCATAATTTCTCTCCTTTCAATTTGCACTGATATACAATATATTTTCAGAATCGCCTTTGGGAGGAATGGTATTCCAATTGTGCAGCCATCCTTGGGCAGTGGTCGGAATTGGAGAACTTTGTAGAAAAGCGGTTCTTGCAAGATGATGCCGGTGAAGTTGATCTGAACCGGGTGTGGCTCCTTCCCAAGCCAACTGCAGCCTGCCCTCCCAGCCTTGGTCCACTCTAAACTCATGAACATTTTGGATGGATCAGAGTCTGATGGAAACCTCATTGCTTTCATAGATCAGTCAATGGGAGATCATCGACATAGATCCATGCTGGAGGGAGATTTGTCCGCTTCAATTAGGTGTCTTAGCTGCTCACCAAGAGAAATTTGAACAGGCAAATGTTTATGCAAACACTGCCACATCAATGACCCTTTTAACATTATCTCAGTACTCGGTTCTTACTCCCAATCCTTTATTGGACACTTTGCAAAATGTTCAGCTGCTAACAGAGCTGCGTGACTGCTTGAACAATGTTAAATATGCTGACCGAGATTTTTACTCTTCAAAAGTCAAGCAAACAGTCACCAACTGGAAGAAACAGAAATGCCGCATTGATGATAACCCGCTCATGACCCAGTGCCTGGCTTCATATCGGGACTTGTACTTACACATAATGGAGAAGAAATTACCAGAAGACTCTTTGGAGGTTTTGAACCTTATTAAGGACACAAAGAACTTCACTCACAGGTTTGTGATCAGGGCAGCTCTCCATAATTCCAATTACCATTTGGCTAATCGACATTTGAAGAAAATAAGCTCTCTGTCTGAAGATGAGTACTCTAAAGCACAGTTCTATTTCTTGATGGCAAAGACCCACATCCTTAGGGGTCAAGCAAAGCAATCTGATCAGCTAAAATACTTAGTGGAGGCATGGGCCAAATATTTAGGCAGGGTAAGCTCAATGTCAATATTAGATCAAAACCCAAGGGTGGAGATACAGTATCTGAAATTGGAAAGTCACCTTTGTTTGGAAATTTGCCGTGCTATTCAGGATATGGGTGATGACTGGGCAGAAGATAATCAGTACATGCAGGTGTTATCAAAGAAATTTGAAAGTGCAGATGGAAAAGAATCCTGGTATAGAGAGCTGCTTAGCTGCAGTTATAAAAGCCTTCAGCTATCCTGTGACTTGTGCAGAAGGTAAACTGGCAAAAAGTGATGCTTTGAATCAAGATGATTTGAAGAAATCAGATAGTGAAGCTCATATGGCACTTGCCAAGTACTGTGAAGAATGTGTTATAAAATGGAAAGATCATGTGGATGTGTCACAATATTCCAAAGCCCTTATGGTCTCGGTCCTCCGAGCAATGGCAAATGGGTCACGAGATGCTCATTTTCATTTCCCGCGTCTGATAAATTTAATGAATGAGGATGGAAGTCTTTTATCATCTTTCCAGGAGGAATCTGAGAAGGTACCAATATGGATGTTCTTGCTCTGGCTAAGTCACATTCTCATATATGTGGATAAAGTTCCGGGGCCTGCTCTTCAGCCTGTGGTTGAGCGGTTGGCAGCAGAATACCCTGATGCAGTTATATATCCTTTTGGGATTAGCAAGCAACAGTACGACTTCAGTAGTCACGAAGGCAAACTTGCTAAATCCATGTGTGAAAGGGTAGAGGCCTTACTCAGCTCACACAGACTTCTACATCAGTTTGTGTCAGCAATGTCACTTATGGTGGTTCCGTCCATTGCATGCAAAGATGCAATTCAAAATGTTTTGCAAGAGAAAGACAAACAAAAGATGGAACTGTGTTTAAAGGAGATTGAGAGTCAGTTCTTAAAAGTACAGAGCAGGTCTTCTAAAGGAAATGCAGAGGAAAAGGGTGAGGCATATACCAGGCAAGACCGAGTAAAGAAGCAAATGGCTGAAGCTTTTGCAAAAGCATTTGGTGAAAATCTGAAGAAGGCAAAGTCTTTGTCTATTGGAGATATTCAGAAGCAACTTAGCTCGATGGGAAGATTCTTGCAGCTGTCTCCAGAAGAGTCAAAAAAGTTGCCCCGGCAGTTGAAGGCCTATTCTCCCTGGCTGGCCAATTTCCAGGCATCAAGGTATTCAGAAGTGCTCGAGTTGCCTGGTCAGTATACTGGAATGTCCAAACCTTTACCTGAGTATCATGTAAAGATTTCAAGTTTTGATGAAAATGTCATGCTTATGTCATCTATGCGTGTGCCAATGAGGATTATAATTAGAGGTGATGATGAAAAGGAATACAAGTTCCTTGTGAAGTGGGGAGAAGATCTCCGCACTGACCAGAGAATGGAGCAGATGTTTACACTGATGAACAGTATATATGCTAGGTCGCCTCTGTGCACCAAAGCTTCATCCGTTCCTTCACTGGACACTTATCAGGTGATCCCACTTTCACTGAGAGTGGGCATCTTGCAGTGGGTTGATTCTACTCAACCCCTAAAGGACTTTATAAATGAATCGTATAGAGAAAATGAAACAAAATGTTATGGTGAGGCAAGGGCTCTTTATGGAAAGAATGAAAATTATAATGTTGCCAAGAAAGCCAAAAAGCGGGATGTTATAAAGGCATATGAAGAAGTTGTAAACAAGATTCCATGGGATGTCTTACGCCGGGGACTTGTGAGGATGTCAAGCAGCAATGAAGGCTTTTTCAGTCTAAGAAGTGCTTTTGCCGTGAGTTACGCAACATTATGTATCTCACAGTGGCTTTTGGGCATTGGTGATCGTCACTGTAGCAATTCCCTTGTAAGTCTGAAGACTGGTCGTGTTGTTGGGATTGACTTTGGCCACCATTTTGAAAGTGCTGTGCAGTTTCTGCCAGTTCCAGAGTTGATGCCGATTCGCCTGAGTCCTCAAATTGTAAATGTATTCCAGCCAATAGGCCAAGTCGGGATGTTGAAAGAAATCATGGTTGCTGCACTGGGAGCACTTCAAGAATCGCGCCATGTACTGACAGCAGTTTTAGAGGCCTTTGTCAAAGAGCCAACAAAAGATTGGCTAGATTTTGTTCAGAAACAGGAGGGTGACACCAAGGACAGCAAAGTAGAACTGTTTTCTAACAAACGAATCGAATTGCTAAATGATAAGCTGAGTGACATTAACCCAGCCTACATAACCTTATGGGCAGTTTCCCAAAATAAATATGTAGCAAAACAGAAGGCCTATGAGAACCTCAAACAAGCTGTCTTAGGCGACAGAGGAGAATCCGTCCGAGCCAGTGTTGGCGAGCGAGGACTCAGCACTCACCAGCAGGTAGATGTCCTTCTTGAACAAGCGACAGACCCTAATATCCTGGGAAGATCTTGGATAGGCTGGGACCCATTCCTGTAAGATCAGCACAACACTAACTAGGTGCACATGGGGTTTGATTCATTCATTTTATTTTGTTGATTGTTTGAGAGAAATAACTTAAATTTTAGAGAAGTCGACTGGGTAGAGTTTTAGTAAATATATGATGCCATTGTGCTCTTTCTATGCATACTGCGTAAATTTAATGCAAGAAATGTTTTGTTGCATTCCACTTTGTGAAGGTTCATTTGTGATCTTGAATGACAGATTTCATCACTGATACATATTTTTGTTTCTGTTTTTGATAATTCACTATATATTTATATTTGCAAAAAAATGAAACTTGATTAAGAATTGTTAAGATGTTCCTAAGCATGCTCAGTATCTTTGTCGATAGGTCTTGTTTCTGAAAATGAAGAGAGCGAGAATCAAGTATACTTTAGATATGCAGAATTGCAAATAAAAATTGAAAATAAATTTAGTGGAATTCATTGCATTCTTCCTGTTAATACTATCTCGGTGTTCGTAGAAGAGAGAAGTTTATATATCAAGCAAATTTGGTTGTATCTATACTTCCTATAAATAAAGTGAGAGTCTGAGGTGACAATTCTCAGATTAAAACTTCATCCCCTCCTCCTAAAAGTACTCTAAGCTCACCCTGGCTACTAATAAAGATTTTGTACCATTTTAGGGCCACTGAAGCTTGCCCCTTTATCAACTATCCCCACAGATTTAAATTCTGGTTCCCCAACCCAGGTTCTCCTTTGACCACGACTCTGAATACTGCTACTACTACCTTCTCTTTAATGCCAACTATCACCTCAGTCCAGTCCAAATCATCCACCCAGGTCATTACGATCCTCCAGAAAACACATCTACTTCATTTCCTCCACCCCCCAACTTTCTTCAACTACTACCCCCTCCTCCTTTATCACTACTCTGCAGCCTCACTGTCTACCCCTATACAGTACTACTTCCCCCAGCACTACTTCCTCTTCCACACGTCCCCTTCCTGTTGCTACCCCCACCCACTTTTGAATACTCTGTTTAGCCCAGCCAAATGGCATCAATTGTTCTTGGTCCCCTCTAGAGCCCCTTACTCTAACAACAGTCTCTTCTAGCAGTTACTCCAAAAGCAAGTAGGCAAAGTTTCCTTCCGCACCCGGCCCAGTCAGTCACGCCTCGTCACAGTTACATCTTAATCCCAAACTGAAGCATTATCAACCCTAACTCACTTCACTGGCAAACCCATTCCTGCCCAGTCTCATCCTTCCGTCAATGCTTGGTCAGATTGTGGAGAAGACTTGCTCGCCTGCCTCGTGGTCAATGATGCAGTATGAGTACATTACTACACTATTTCCCCAAAGGACGCCGTAGGTTCACCAATATTACCAAGATTACTTTCCGTAGACGACTTCCCCCTTGATGTCCCTCTCTGTCTGACCTATCAACCTACCCCCGTCAATATCAGAATCTAGGTCATCCTGACAAACACTGATGTTCCATAGCCCAATGCCCTTTGTGTGCCCAACCTGGTTACGATAGATCATACTGCTCTGCAGGCATGCACATAATGTGTTTTATAGGGGTTGCTCTACCTAAAAGTCTGAGTCTGAGGTGGCAACTCTCAGTTTCAAACTTGGCCTCACTTTACGTAAGTCCAGACAGGAAGCATGCAGATACGTTTTTTTCTCTTACTCCCTTCCCAGTGCTACCCCCTCCCTCCCAAGATGTTACTACTTCTTCCTCAATATCTCTTCCTCATCCCACTTCTGGCCATTTCTTCGGCCCAGTCAAATTCTTTTGCCATTCTATATCCAGATACTCCAATCTCTACTTCCCCGGTTCCTCCCCCTCCCGCTCCTCGATCAACTCATCGTACAAGACAAGCTAAACGTCCCCATCCTCTACCGCAGCCTCTCCCTCCGTCCCTTAAACGTCCTTTTCTCCTACGTTAGAAACACTCGAGGACATCCGAAACTATCTAATCATGACCTAAAATAACATGCCTACACCTCACCCATCCTCAATTTCTCTATTACCATTCCCTCTACACCCCAAGTAACTGCCGACATCCATCCTTCTCCTATTCATGTTCCCCCCCTTTCTCCTTTTGCTAATCCCCGCCTTACCCAACCCTTCTTTGCAGAATCCCCCCCAATCTCTTGCCCGTTGTTGTCGTGGGGGGGCTTAGGAGGCGGAGACTGGGACCCAATGATGGGGAACTCCCCAACCTTGGGACTCAGCCCTCGACTCAACTAATTATGCATGCTCTTTTTTTCCCTTCCCACTTTTGTTTCTGTCCCTTCACCAAACCCTTCTGCTATCCACCTCCTAAGGTGTGAGAGCCATGCTGAAAGGATGAAAGGCTGACTTTGTGCCAGTCCTGAACGGCCTGAGGGAGCCATGGGCACGGTATTCCCCTGATTTAGTTATCTAGCCCTTTACCCCTCAAGGGGACCCTGAGGGGTGGACTGTTTTTATCCCCAACATAATCCAGGCTTCCCATGGCCAGTAATGAAAATATATCCCCACTGTTAGGGGCAATGAGGCTTGCTCCTTTATCAAATAGCCCCAACGAAGTAAACCCACCTGATTCCCCGACCCCAGGCTCTCCTTTGACCACGGCTCCGAACACTGCAATAACTACCCCTTCACCAATGCCTACTAGTACAGTAGCCAACAATCAACCCTCAAGGAACATTTCCACTCTCCCAGCATGCCCAACTTCAACACCTCTACCCCCACAACCTCCAACATCAACCACCCCATCCTCCCTTATTAATACCTTACAGCCTTATAGCCCACCTCTCCATAACACTACCTCCATCAACACTACTCCATCTTCGTCACGCCCTCGCCCTTCTACCACCCCTATCTCTAAAACAATCTTGAATACTCTCTTCAGTGCAGCCAAATGGGACCGATTTTTCGTGATCCCTCCCACAGCTCCCTACTCTGACAACACCCTTCTCTTCCAACAATGCCTCCAAAAACAAGTAGGTAAAGTCTCTTTCCGTAGCCGACCCGACCGCTCCCGTCTTGTCACAGTAACATCCGAAAACCAAGCTATAGCATTAACAAAACTAACTGACCTATATGGTAACCCCATCCTAGCAGAACCCCATCCAACCCTCAATACTTGCACCGGAACAGTCTTAATCTCCCCAGCAAATTGCCCAATCTATGACAAAGATTGGTCAGATTGTGGAGAAGATCTACTTGCCTGTCTCACAGACTACGATGCAACATCAGTACAATGCTACTCCATTCCCCCCAGAGGTCATCGAAAGAAACCCACTAACATAGCCAAAATTACCTTCCGTAGACATGACCTTCCCTTTAACGTC